TGGCGTTTTGTAAGGATGAGGCCAGCGATTTCCCACGTGTTTGGTCCTACAACACGGGGCTATGAATGGTACCCAGGTAAAATCTGCAGTGCCCAGTGCTTGCAGCTTCATACACCAGCAGCTGACTGTGCCTCTGAGCCTCCTCAGAGTAAACGTGGCAGCCTCTTGATGCTGGCCTCGAACTGTGTGCCAGAAATTGGTCACCATCACTGCTGGTGCCCAACGAGCAGCCCCAAGGATGCTCAACTCTCTGCGCACAAGGCACAGTCTTCCAAAACTCATCTGGCAACATTTGACCAAAGCAAGGTCTCAGGGACAGAGCTTTGCACGGCTCTGCAACCAAAGCCTAGTCAAGACTAAGGTCCAAGGAAAAATGTGATTTTTGCTGACAGGGTCTAGTTTCCATCCAAACAGATACAACTTTGGTGATGGGGCACCCAGACATCAGGAATAGCAAACGTTGTTCCTTCCCCTGAAGTGTGTCGCTGTTAAGCTTAATTTATTTCATGATCTTTGAGGGGTGGCAGAGAGCAGGGGGTGGCTAGCTGGCCTGGGGCACAAGACTGTTGGACCCGCAGGCAAGTGGCAAAGCTGGCCAAGTGGCACCTGTTTAAATGAGGGCTGGCTTCATCTCACAGAAGTTATTTATATGCTCTTATTTCTGGCGAGAAAAGCGCTCCTCCAAACGGTGCCCTGCCTCATTACCGATCCCCACCCAGAGACCTCTTTTCAACTCAGCCAGGCTTCCCAGCAGCTCGCCGCAGGATCTGCTCAGACACAATAGCTCCAGCGGGTTTTATTGCATTTCACTTTTCCTCTCTGCTTGGCCAGCTGCCAGCAGAGATGTTCTATGCAAAGATAATGGCTTCGACTTAATCATTCACCTCTCATGTGTCTAAAAGGAGTTAAGGACACTGGAAGCTTCCAAGAAAAATAAATGAACAGTGCTTGTTCAAGGGGGCCTCTTTAAGGCTGTTTCACTGACTTGAAAAAAAAAAAAAGAAAAAAAGAAAAAAAAAAAAAGAAAAAGAGAAGCAGCAAGCTATTCCTGCACATCACCCATGCCCTATTTATTTTTTAAATGTGTGTTTAAATTTGGCGGAGCAGACATGAATAGAAGGGTTATAAAGTGTTTCTCGTTTTCTTGTTACGGAGAGATTTGCAGTGTGTTTGGAGAGATGGGTCCAAAGTGAAATTCTAGTCAGGCTCATTTCTGGGGCTGTAAATCTAGATCCCAGCCTTGGGGGACTCCATCATATGTCTGCGTATGGGTGACATGCAAAAAACAAACAAACAAAAAAAAACCGGACACCTCCCAGTTTTGCTGAAAACCCCCAAAATGGGATGTTCTCAGGGAAAATATTTGTAGTGAAGAAGCAAAATAAATCCTTGCTTGCTTGTAGTTGGGGTGGATCAAGACACCAGCATTGATCCTGAACCTGAGGAACGAGCTCCTAAGTTGTGCAATGTCAGGAGAATCTGACCTCATTTATCCATGTAATTAAAAGCAACATTATGGTTGATCATACATCATATGACTGCCCTGAGAAGTGGATGCTATCTAGAAGGGCATGGGGATGCTTTTTTCCCTTCTCAGGTATCCTGGAGCAAGGTACAGGTGGCTTCTCTGGAGCATCTCCTAGAGGGCGAGCTCTTGCCATGACTGTTGCTTCCTCCAGAGATGGGAGAGTCCACAGTGGGATCTAGAGTAATCCACTCAAACAGGTCATGCAGACAGATCCCTTCTTCCATATGGCATTGCTCTGTGTTGTTCTCAACCTTCAAAGAAGCTCATTTCTGGAAAAGAGAAAAATATCTGAGTCCATTCCTCCCTATTCCTTGTCCCACTTCCATTTTCCAGGCAGCATGTGCATGCCTGCGTGGTGCTGCTTTGTGCCCACACGTGCACGTAGGTATGTGCATGTGCATGTACATATATGTGCACCTAGCCCACCCTCCCCACAGGTATGGGAGGGTCTCTGCCTGCACCCATCTTTGCAAAGCAACCTTTCTGTGAGTAGTACAGATTGGGACACTCACTTAAATCTCCTTAAAATTGTGGAAAAAGGAATAAAGTTGTAACTGTCATCACCTATTCAGAAAAATTCCTGCAGTGCAGACACCCATTTTCCAGCCTTTGAAGGCTAGGGGAAAAAATTATCTTGCCAGGTGGAGTGTGATGTCTAGTTCTTCCCTTTGGCAAATGCAGGGGTGAATTTAGCAAGTTTGGAGTGAGTTGGAGGTGAAATGTCCCTTCCTCTCCTCCCCTTATATTCCCTCTCCTCCTGGGCAAGCAGCACTCATCTCATTAGAGAACACATTTCCAAAGACATGCTAATTTTGATGAGGTTCTGATGAGACACTAGACGAGGAGCTTGTTTCCCCTCCCCAGCCATGAGTTCCCTGAGCTGAGCGCTCTCTGCATGACTCAGATTTTTTTTAAGAACTGGAGCCCAATAGACGTTGTCCTTACTGATACCACTGGGACCAGAAGGTCTTTTTTTTCCCACCAACCTTAAAAACATGCTGATATACTGCAGTTTTTTTTTTTCTCAATATTTTGTTTTTATTATTATTAAAACAGCATCAAGTCCCAAAGCACCAAAGGATGGGATCTCTCCTGCATTTTCTCCCTTCATCACTAGCTAAGAAAAAAAAAAGGGCAATTATCCATAGGAGAAAACATTAAAGGACACTTCAAGCATCCCTGGTTTCTCGCTGGCTGAGAAGTTGATGGTGATGATGAATTTGGGGTGCAGAATGGGGCCACATCATTGGTGTCCCACCACCACCACCATCCCGACAGTGGGCTGTGCTGGACACAACCTGCACGCCCCTTTGACCACAGGTGTCCAGCCGAGGCCGTGTGTTTTCTCGTGTGAATCCTCCAGAGTTCAAAGGAGCAGGTTTGGGGCCAGGGTTCCTGCTTGCCCCCGATGGCACCGCCCTGCTCCGCGATATTATTCAACCCCGAATTCCTTCAATTGACAGCCGCGCTATTTCCAGTCTCTTAGTCAGCATACGCCGCTCTGCTTCCCAGTCTGATGAGACCTGGATTTTCCCACACTCCCCCGTAAATGGAAACACATTGTTCATCTTCACTTTATTTATTTATTTGGTACAGAAAAACAAGATACTGATATAACTTTGAAGTGCTGTCTCTACAATGGTTGGTTCCTTTTCGGAGCAATGGGTTTTCCTAAAAGCCGCTCTCAGCAAGATCCTTATCAAACTCGCCTTAGCGGGAGACAATGAACATTTCACAGCATGAAGAGGAAAAAAATAAAAAGGTCGGTGAGAAGACAAATGCTCCATGCGAGGAGATAGCCAGGGTGCAGATGAGCTCCCCCAGCCTTGTAAACACAGATTATTTTCTGCCTGACCTCCGGTTTGTGAACGTTTTGCTTGTTGAGTCAGCTCCGGAGCTTATTGCGGGGTGGATGTTGTTGGAGCAGCTATGAAAACAGGGACCCGAGCTCCATCTGAACACCTCTCTCTGGCACCCACAAGCCTCACCTCGACTGTGCCCAGGGGGGCTGGCTGCTGGGGCTGGCAAAACTACGGGGTCTGGGGAGGTGCACGCTTTTCTGCAGGCTGCTGGGGTGGTTTTCCTGATGGAGCAGCTCCAGGCAGGCAGGTAGGGGAGCAGCTTTGTGCGGAGGAAGCGTGTTGGCTGGTGTCTGCTGTATTTTTAATTATTCGGTGGATGGTTCGAAGCCAAGGCTCCGCAATCAGTCAGTGTTTGTGGGTTAAAATAGAAACAAACAATAGGTTAATGTAAACCAAAGAGCACTCTGGTTTAGAGCCCGATGATAACGCCTGCATTGTGGAGTGGATCCTTGTCCTGAAGGCTTTGAAGATTGCTTGCTGTATTTATTTTCCTAAAGATGGGTAACTTTGGTCTATTTGCTCAGCTTCTTACGGGTTTGAATAGACAAGGGTCCAGTAAAGGTGGGTCTGGCTCTGAGCTCTGAAGGAGCCTGGAGGGAAAATGTGTTTTTGGATCCTGATCTCATCCAAAAAATGTACCGCATTTCACTACCCTTAGATAGCTTACAAGTTGGAAATGCCAAGTAACCGGAAACTTTTGCTCCAAAGTCAACTTTGCTTTCATTAATAATTATTTTAAGACTGCATTCATAGAACAAAACAGTACTATATGGAGGAAAAATAGACCTGGGGGGAGTTCAGGGCTGAGTTCACTCTGCCATCTCCACTCCCACACTGGTGTTCAAGGAGCGGCAGCCTGAGATGCAGGGGAGGTCATGGTGAGGGATCCAGAAGAGGAAAGGAAGGAGTGAAGGGGATGAAGGCTGCCTTGGTGGGGTGAAGACCCCAGCACCCACCATGACAGGGTACAGAGTGCGTGTCCTCCAAAATCCTTTGGGTAGCTGAGATGTGCTCTTGATCCATTTTACAGATGAAAAAATGGAGCTGCAGGAGATGAAAATGCATATTATATTGACAAATGTGGTCTCAGCCTTTTTCTTTGGGATCTGATCTGGCACCCCTTGGCTTATTTTCCTGTCATAATGATGCAGCCTGTGCCTGTAAACCACTTCTCCAAGTCATGTAAATCATTATAAATATTATTAGACTTATCACCTCTGTGCCTAATATACCAATACTGGCAGCAATTTTTGAAAACACAAGAGCAACAAGAAACGTATGTTCTGAGAGTCAAGTTAGTGGGATTTTTTTTCTGCCAAGGACAATAATTTTTTTCCTTTTTTTTTTTTTTTTTTTTTTTTTTCAAAATAAACATCACGCTGGAATGTGCTGCAGCAAATGGCTTGGGCTCTATTATATTTCATGCAGCTTTCTAAACAATTTTCAACCCCACTGGCACGGTGTCAAACAGAAGGCAACCAACAATAGCAAAATCCCATTAAAGCTGAGAAGGTTCCTTCCTGAGGTGAACACGGCCAGAAATAGTAATCTTGGCTCTCTTTTCAATTTGGCATTGGGGACTAATAATGCATGTTCTACTAATGGAAATTATCTAATTTCATCCAAGTGCAGCTCCAGAGAGAGCTGGGCTGACGCACAAACAGTCAATATAACAACATTCTTCTTGAAGAGCTGAACAATAGGGCTTTGGTGGGACTGTGATTAACAACGTCAAACTAAGAACAAACAGAAGGTGTAAAAATAGGCATCTGAGGAGTCGACACAACGGACTATTTTTCATCTGTAAGGCCAGAGGAGAATAGCTTGTTAAATTGTATGCTCGGAGCACTTCATCAGATGTGTGGGGAAGGACAAAAAAAAAAAAAAAAAGAAAGAAAAGAATCCTATTTCCCATCTGGGTCTGAATGTACTAAGGAACTGCACATGCCTTATTAATATAAATCATGCTAGGAGCATAATTCCCATTAGCATTAAAGAACCATTTTTCAATGAAATACTCCTGCACCAGGAACACCTAACGGGAAATAATGGTGTTTGCTTCATTTGAAGAGAATAGTAAAACACAGTGTAGAGACCGAGAAGGTGGAGAGCTGTTTCTTCTCTCCAACACTACGGGTTTGGGGGTTTTTACAGCCACCCTAAGCCCTCCCCTTCCCACTCCAGCAGGGCCGTATCCAGATGTGGTGCAGAGAAGGGGCTGCCCAGCCCATGGAGGTGGCAGGGAGCGGGGCTGGGCTGCTCGGCTGTGTTGGGGCAGTGCTACAGCCCTGGGCACAGCCTTGCTGCCTTATTCCCATGCTGCCATGGGTGTGCAAGGGATGGTGCCCGAAGCATTAAAGCGCAGAAGCATTAGGGGTAGGTGAAACCGCTGCATAGCTCATTAGCCCTGGTGCCTTGCCGGCTTTTCCCAGGGCTGTGGCTCTTGGCTGTCGCAGCGCGTGGGGCCAGCGCTCTCACCCCAGGGTTTGCGTGGGCGCACGCTGGCTCCCCAGCCCCAGCGTCACCTTGGAGGGATTAATTCCCTTTCCTCGGCTAAGCGCCACAGCTCAGTCCGAGGTCTCAGCGAAAGGAAGCACTAGCCTTGAAACGCTAGACAAAATTTCCACCTCTGGTTAAGCAGGTATGTTTATTTTTAATTTTTCCAAAATCTCAAGCAGCTGCTTACTCACGGTTATTTTTAGCGTGAGAGGGGAGCTCTGTGTTTTCATAAAATCCCTCGATGTACGTTTGGTCACTGGGATCCGGGGCATGACACAGCACTGCTACTTTGCCTCTGCATCCAGGAACGGATGGACCCCCTGCTGGGGGTCTGACACAAGCGTGTCCTTCGTGTTCTCCCTCCTTAAAACACCCAGAAAAAATGATGCGAACCATGGAAACGACTAATAAGTGAAAGAAAAGCCGCCTGGGTCTGCTGGGGACCCGGCTAACATCCAGCATCTCACGGGCACACGGAGGTGATCCTACGAAGGAAGGAAAGCTGGGAAGAAAAAACCCCTGCAGCTGATCTCCCCCCCCAGCAGCCACACACGGAGGCTGATCGTAGCCCCGGGGTCTGCTTCCTGTTGCAGATCTCGCTGTCGGCGTGCACTAGAGGGTGCTGCTTCGTTAGCGATGGGCAGGGCTCGCCGCCCGTGCTGGCGCTGCTCGGCTGGGCTGAGCGTGGCAGGGCTCGCGTTAGCGCTGGCCTCAGTGAAACGGATGGCTTAGCTGGGAAAAGGAGAATTCCTTGGCCTGGAAAAGCTTCTATACATCTGGGGTCAAGGGTAAACATTTGGGTTAGTCACGGTGACAAATGAAAGGAAAAACTGGCCAGACTTTCCTTTTTCTTTTTTCTTTCTTCTTTTTTCTTTCTTCTTTTTTCTTTCTTTCTTTTTTTCTTTTTCTTTTTTTTTTCCTTCACTCTCTGCTTCACAGTTGCAGGATGAGCGAGTGCCTTGAGAAGCCAGCTGAGACATGAGACAGCAAAACAAGAAGAGGACAGTGACCGTAGGCGCCGAAGATAACAAACCTTTGGAATTCACCACTGCAGGACAAATAGCCAAAACCCCGTGGCAACGTTTTCGTGCAGGAATAAAAGCAAAGTACACTTTATGACTGCTACAGTGTTTTGGCTAAGATAAGGCTAACCAGACCACAGGCATCGAGTTATAAAATGATGTGTTAGAGGTATCAGTAGGAAATGACTTCCCTCGTGTGCTGCCATGCTCCATCGACCGTGCCTGCTCCGGTTTTGTTTCCATTTGCTGAATGTGCAGAGCAAGGGCTCTTTCTGCAGGCAGCATCCCAGGGCTATGGCAGTGCCTGCCATGGGAAAGAAAGCATCTCCCTTGGGCCAAAGGATTAAATTGGGATTTTTGTTATTATTTTTTTAAGGGTTGTGATGGCTTTGTTCTGCTGGGATTTTATATATGCTCCTAATAAAGAATGAACTGGTTTTAAGCTCACCAGGCTGGTACCCACTGTGTTCAAGCCCACTCAGAACATGAAAGGAGGGCTGGAAGAAGCATAGTAACTACTCTCAGATCCAGGTGAATTTTACAGAGTTCTTCTAGAACATTGTGTTCCTTCATTAGTTGACTTTGCTTTTTATATGCCTGCATTCTGATAGTTTTATTTCCAGTTTCCCCACATTTTTGACCGCTGTTGTCAGGAAGGTGGAAACTGTTTCTTATTTAAAGCATTTCTATGCAGTTATTAGTGTTTCCTTCTTAGATGCTGACTGGCTTTTCTGCACAGTAACTTTAAGGTACTGTTGCTGCAGGGGCCAGAGGCCTAATGCATTACTGCACAACCCAGCTTGGGTCTGGGGAAAAATGGATGGGGTTCCTCTGACAAAACCATCAGGGGATGACCCACTATGGGAATGGAAATTCTCCAGTTAGACCTAGCCATGGGTGTGCGTGCAAACGCTTCTCTCCCCAGCAGCTGCACAGGAGCACAGTAAGTCAGCACTGCTGCACATTGTGTCACCTTTAATCAGCCACCAGAGGTTAATTGCAGAATGGCTCTCTCCAGACCTCTAGGCTTGTGTGGCCTGGAAAATCGCTGCGAAAATCTTCAGACAGTTTATGGTCTGGCTGCAGTGTAAAGGCAAAGAAACCTATGGTATCTGTGATGCCAAAGAAGAGAGTTTGGGAAATGTGACAGCAGAAGGCCTTTTCTTCCAGGTAGAGTTAATCTTCCGCAGATTGACATCCCCAGGGATGGGAGCAGGCAGGCAGGGATGAAGCAAGTGCAAGTGTTTGGCACTTCAATCTCAAGCAGCTTAAACCCTTACAGCACTGCAGGCTCGCAGTGCCCAGCTGCCTGCCCAGCATCAGATATCTAAAAATGGGCTTCCCAAAAAACAACAGACGGAGGAAGATCTGCCTGATCTAACCCCAAGGAAACCCCAAAGAAGGGACTGTCCTGACCCTGCTGCTCCTCAGAACGCAGCCTCCTTTCCTGCGGCTGCAGAGTGATTCTGCTTTCCAGCTGCTATTTATTACCCTTTTTTTTTTTTTTTTTTTTTTTTTTTTTTCACAAAGATTTATGTATCTGCAGCTTTTCATGGAAAAAAGGAAAATAGAAAAAAAAAAAAAAAAAAGGGAAGGAAAAGAAAGGAAGGAAAGGTCACTCCTTTCCCTGTAAACATGGTTGTGGAAAGATGCAGTGCCCTCTTACATGTCAGGACTTTGAGCTAGGCAGATGGGGGGAGAGGGAAGTGAGGGTTTGTGAGTGCTCCCTCCATCTGAAGGGACCTTTGGGACTACACAGTATTTTGGGTGAATGTGATTTTGCTTCAGAGCACCTCTACCATGCCCTATGGATTGAATTCCAACCAAGGATCCCTCCTGGTGCGCCCCGAGACCTCTCCCCGGTGCTGCAAGCGCTCAGGCCCAGCTGATCCCCCCCGTGGCCCTCCGGACCAAACCCGGCCACCGGTGCGAGGCTCTCGGCTGTCCCCGAAGTGCTGTCCGCCTCGGCAGGTGGCGACAGAGCCCGGCCTTTGGGGCCCGGGGCCCGCGGGCGCTCGGCGCTGCACAGCGCGGGGTCCCCGCAGCATCGGGGTGGCCGCAGCGGGAACAGCGCTGCAACGAGATGGAGGCGATTAAAAAAAGCTCCTGTATATAAGGAGAGTGGTGTTTTATATATTAGAGATGCGCATAAATATGTTTTAATATAAAATGTATAGGTAGAGGTAGAAACAGAACGACCTCTATGAACATAAAGCTGTATGGGGAGAGCCAGGGAGAGCCAGGGATGGGCCGAGGAGCTCCGAGGGGCAGGAGCAGCCCGTGGGCAGCCCTGTCAGGCCCCCCCGCAGCCGCCCCCCTCTCCGGGATGCTCCCGGCCCGGGGCCGGCGGGCTGCAGCAGCGCCTCGGGGTTAGCCCGTCTATCTCCGCAAGAAACTCGAATAACTCTTTTCCACCTCTCCTTTGTCGTCCTCGTAGGGAGGAAAAAAAAAAAAAAAAGTCCTTCGAGACTCTATTCAAAAAAAAAAAAAGCATCTCTCCAGCCTGCACAGTTCATTCGCCTCCTTCTCGAGTCCCTCGGAAAGCAAGATTAAAGGGGAAAGTCGCAGCTGTATATTTATGTTTTCATTGCTAGAAGGGAATTGATTTCCTTGCATTTATTTTTGTAGTTGCAATACACAAGGGCGGATTTGCGTCACCAAAGCAACTTGCTGGTCGAGATAAAGTTGCACAAATATTGAAAAGGGAAGTGCTCGCGCTCATTATGAAGTTTTTCTCCGGAAGAAATAAGGATTTCTGCTGTATCCTAAAATACTGAAGCCGCTTCTATTTTAGGACAAATCTCGCAGGCACATCCGCTCATTTAGTCCGGGTTGGAACCTCTCAAAAAAAACAGGAGATGACCTGGGCTGCAGCGAGCCCCGGGTTTCCTGCAGCCTTCTCGCTCCTTGCTCGGGGAGGAGGCGCCGCCGTTGTCATTGCCGCGGAGCCCTGCGAGCCCCGGGCCCGGGGAAGGGAGCGGGGAGGCCGGCAGGGCCTCCGGGGAGAAGGCTCGGCCCTGCCCGGGGAGGCCGCGGGGGGAGCAAGACGGGGCCGCGGAAGATGCGCGGGTCCCGAGGCGACGCGCACCTGCCCGCGGGGGGCTCTGAAATAAACTCTTGGGGAAAAAAAAAAAAAACGGGGGGAAAAAATATAAAAATACCACCCGAACACCTTTTTTTTTCCCGCCCTGGAGAGCATCCCCGGGGTGGTGTGACAGCGACAGCAGCAGCGGTGGCACCGGGAATGGGAATTTGGCGAGGCGCAGCTGGGGCGCGGTGGGAACGGCGCAGTTCGTTGCCCTTCCGTGCAGCGGGCCGGTGGCACGGCTTCGCCTCGCCGTGGAAACGCAAGTGAAAGCGGAGTCGTTTGATCCGGTTTGAAACCAGCAGAGCCGCTCTGGGGTCATCTGCACAAGGGGAGTAAGGGGAGACGCAAGGAAAAGTGGCTTCCCCTGTCGAGGCAGGAAAAGTTCAAAGCTAACCTACCCTTTCTTTCACCTTGTTTTCGGACACGTCTTGGCAAGCCGTTGCCTCGTTATTTTTCGGTTTAATATCGCTAACAAAAACCAAACCAAACCAAAGCCGTGCCTGGGCTTTCCTGAGGGACGGGCTTCGCCTTTACACGTGCCCACGGACACGCTGGCATTTGCCTTAGAAATGTGCTCACGCTCGATTACAGGTGGTTTCAATATCCCCCCAAAATCTACATCTTCATACCTGGCGAAAGGAAAATAGTTTGGCTTTCTGGCGGTTCCCTGGAAAAGGCTCCGAATTTTAGAAGCTATGTAAAAAAAAAATAAAAGTATTTTTTGAAACAAAACCAAAACAAACCTGCAATCGTCTGACCCGGGAGCTTGTTCACAACGGCAGCTATGGGCTTACACGGCCCCGGCTGGGGAAACTACGACTTAAAAAAATGCTGTTGTTGTGTTTTGTTTTGTTTTGTTTTGTTTTCTCCCTTTCCCGGAGTCAGGTAGGGACAGATATGGATGTTGGAGGGAAGGAAAAGCACGAAATAAGCATTGATATGTTTGTCCCTAAAACATTCTAGCGAATATAGTTATGGTTGTATTCTTAAAAAAATAAAAAAAAATAAAAAATGGGGGTAATTCGGTTGTCAAAGTTGCACAAAATTACGAACTGGTCTTTACGGTGGAAGGGGTGTGCGAACAGATCGGGTGGAGAGCATAGAAAAAAATCAATAAAAGGTGCTTGCCGACACGACCCAATTTATTAGGCACTGCTAACGCAGGACCCAACGCGCCCTGGGCCCCGAGCAGCCCGGAGCTCCCCCAAATCCTTCCGTTGCGAGCAAGATCACTGCACACCCATTTCTCCGCCGCCCGGCCGAGGCTCATTTATGCCGGGAGGAAACGTGGTGCACCGGGAAGCATTTCCAGCCTCCGGCTGCGGCTCCGTTTCTCCGCGCTGGGAACCACGGCGCGGGGGGCAGGCGCTGCGCGGAGCAGCGGGGGGGCTCCCCCTCGGGGCGCTCCCCGACGGGCGCACACCTTGCGGGCCGGGCCGGGCCGGGCCGGGGGCACACGGAGCGCGGCACTTGCGGGACTCGGCACGGCTCGGCCCGGCTCGGCACGGCCCAGCAGGGCTCGGCACGGCTCGGCCCGGCCCGGCCCGGCCCGGGGCGTGTCTGCGGGCGGCGCGTCCCGGCCCCGCGGAGCGCGGATTGGGCGCGTTGTGCCGGGGGGCGGCGGGAGCGAGGGCTGCGGCGCGGCCGGGAGCGGCTGCCAGAGAAAGTTTGGGGAGGGGTGGATTTTTTCCCCAGTGCGAGGAAGGGGGTTTGTTTTGTTTTGTTTGCGCCGCTCCTCTCCCGCGCTCGCCCGCTCGCTCTCCCTCTCGCCGTTGGTTTTGGGGACTTCTTCCTTTTTTTTTTTTTTTTCAGCTTTTTTTTTGACTTCTTAATTTTTTTAGATTTTTTTTTTCCTGCCCCTTCGGCAAGTGCTCCGGCCGCCGCCGCCGCCTCCCGCCCCGCCATCCCTCCCCATGCTCCCGGGGCGGCGGGCAGCTCCGCGCCGCGCTCCCGGCAGCTGAGCGGCGTCCCCCGGCGGGGAGAAGAGCCCGTGCTCGGCGGCCGCCAGGATGTACACGGCCGGCCTGGCCCCCTTCTACGCCTCCAACTTCAGCCTCTGGTCAGCGGCGTACTGCTCGGCGTCGGGGCCCGGCGCCGGCGGCTGCTTCCCTCTGGACGCCGCCGCGGCCAAGAAGCCGTCCTTCTGCATCGCCGACATCCTCCACGCCGGCGGCGAGGCGGCGGCCGGCCCTGCCGAGAGCCTGCCCGGCGGCCCCGGGGCCGGGCTGCCGGCGGCGCTGGGCGCCGTCCACCACGGCGGCCCCTTCCACGCCGCCGCCTCGCCGCTGCGGCCCACGCCCGTCGTGGCCCCCGACGCCCCGTCCGCCGCCGCCTTCCCGCAGCGCCTCTCGCCGCTCTCGGCCGCCTTCCACCCCCCGCACCACCACCACCGGCCCCCGCAGCACCGCTCCCCGGCGGCGGCGGCGGCTGCGGCGGCGGCGGGGGGCGGCGGGGCTCCGGCCCCCGGCCGGGTGCCGGGGGGCCACACGCACGGCTCGGCGCCGGCGCCCGCCAGCAAGGACCTGAAATTCGGCATCGACCGCATCTTGTCGGCGGAGTTCGACCCCAAAGTGAAGGAAGGCAACACGCTGAGAGGTAGAGAAATCGGCTCGGCGCGGCTTTTGGGGGGGCTTTAAGCGGCCGCGGGGCCCCGCGGCTCGCCCCCCTTTGCGAACCGGCCGAGAGAAGCGTCAGCGGTGTGAGGACGAGTTTTTAATGCCCCCCCCCAAAACCCCCCGAAACAGCCCCCGGCCCCGCGCTGCGCCGCTCCGCAAAATAGCGATAGCGTAAAAATAGCTGAACCGGCCGGTGCCGGCCTCCCCGGCCCGGCCCGGGCTTTTCGTGGGCCGCCAGGGCCGGTTTTAAAGGCTTTGGCTGCCATCAATCTCCCCTCGCAGCGCGTAAACATCCTGACAGAGCAGCCACCGGAGGGGAGGATGTCCGAGCGCCGGGGCCCCGCCGCGCCCCCCGAGCCGAGGCAGGGCGAGCCCCGCCGGGGTCCCGCGGCGTGCCGGGCTGGGGGGCTCGACCGCGGTGTAACGGAGCTGTGCTTGTTCTGTGCTCGCAGATCTCACCTCCTTATTAACCGCCAGCCGCCAAAGCGGGGTTCATCTCCCCAGCTTGCAGCCTTCCGCCAGCCAGTTCTTCGCGTCTCTAGACCCCATTAACGAGGCCTCTGCTCTTCTGGGTCCCTTAAACACAACCCCAAGGAGCTCAGTTCAGCACCAGTTTCAAGACACTTTTCCAGGTACATCCCGTCCCCCCCCGTCCGTCCCGGAGCGGCCCCCGGGCCCGAAGGGGCTCGCCGGGCGCTTGGAAACGCCAGGACATTTTCTTTTTTCTTTTTCTTTTTTTTTATTTTTTTCCACGATTTTATTTTTTCTAGCGAGGCTCAGGCTTGGTGCATTTCGTGGGGGGAGGCAGAGCGGCTAGGGCCTGACACAGAGGTTCCCCCCGGCCAGTCAGAAAGAATACCTGGGCCTGGAGAGAAGGGGCTGGGGAGGGGGGAGGGAGAGGGAAACACGGACTAAAATCCGTGCTGTTCGTGTCGGAGGGACCGCAGGCCTGCTTGTAGGACTCGTAGGCTCGGGCCTTCCCTGCCCCTGTCTCCTTCGAGCCCCTCGTCCCGGCGTCGGTGCTAACCGGGCCGCCCCCCGGCCCGTGTCTCCTTGCCCCCGCAGGTCCGTACGCGGTGCTAACCAAGGACACGCTGCCTCAGACCTACAAGAGGAAGCGCTCCTGGTCCAGGGCTGTTTTTTCCAACCTGCAGAGGAAAGGTTTAGAAAAGCGCTTCGAAATCCAGAAGTACGTCACCAAACCCGACAGAAAGCAACTGGCGGCGATGCTGGGGCTGACGGATGCTCAAGTAAGGGCGGCTTCGCTTGTGTTTCGTGCGTTCCCGGGTTCCTAACTTCCAGTTTTGTTCAGGGGAACACTGTGGGGGCGGGCGGGGGGGGGGGGGGGTGCAGGAAAGCTTTTTGCCTTCCTTGCTCTTTTACGGGCCTGCTCGGGGGCAGGGCCCGGGGCCGAGCATCAGGATGCGCTTTGGTGCAGTGCAACTCGCGGCAGGAGGCAGCTTGGGTCAAAGGAAGTAGAGGCGAACACACTATTTTTAATGCCTCTCGCTCTTTTTTTTTTTTTTTTTCTCTCTAAATCTCTCCCCGCATTGTGAAATCCTCAGTTCAGGGGAAGTGAAAACTCTTCTTCAAACGGAATCATTAAACGCCACTCTGCGATGATTCCACTATTGAGGGCCGGCAGCGCACGGAGTTGTATAACGCTGTGGTTTCTTGAGCAAGATTTGGTTTCCTGGAAGAAGAAGTAGAAGGGGAGAGAGAGAGAGAGAGAAAAAAAATATATCAAAGCAAAAAGGGGGCCCCTTTTGTATTGAAACACGCAAATAATAAGGAAAAAGCCACCTTAGTCGCCTAAGGGCGGGGGCAGAGGAGGACGAGGAGGGCCGGGTGGACCTTTTTTTTTTTTTCTTTTTCTATCTCGGGCCGGCCTGCGGGGAGGACGAGAGGGCCGGGCGGTGCGGTGCGGGGTTGTGCGGGGCGGTGCGGGGCGGTGCGGGGCGCGTCCCGTGCTGCCCGTCTGAGGGCGGCCTGGCCGCAGGTGAAGGTGTGGTTCCAGAACCGCCGGATGAAGTGGCGGCACTCCAAGGAGGCGCAGGCCCAGAAGGACAAGGAACCGCCGCCGGAGCCGGAGCCGGCGGCCCCGCGCTCCGCCCCGCCGCCCGCCGCCGCCGCGGGGGAGCCCGAGCGCAGCCCCAGCCGCTCCGACGGCGACAGCGACAGCAGCGACGCCGACTCCCTCGACATGGCCCCCAGCGACACGGAAAGGACTGAGGGCGCCGAGCAGAGCCTGCCCCCCGCCGGGGCCGCCAAGCCCCCCGGCAGCCCCGGCCTCCCGTCCCCGCCGCCCGCCGCCAGCCCCGAGCCGCGGGGCGCGCTATAGACGGGGCGGCCCGGCCCCGCCGCCGGCCCCCAGCGCTAATTTATGTCCTCCTCATCCTCCTCCTCCTCTCCGCCGCCCGGCCGCGGCTCCGCAGCGCTGCACGGGGGCCCGCCGGGCCCCGCACCCGCACCCGGAGCGGCTGCGGAGCGGGAGCTCCGGCCCCGGGACGATGGGCGAGAGGCGAGCTGCGGCGCTGCTGCTCGCAGGAAGAGCGGGACTCCTTTTTTTTTTTTTTAATTTTTATTATTTTTTTAATTTTATTCTCCGTCTCCCGCCCCTCGCCCTCTCCAGGAAGGTCCGAGCGAGGGACTCCGAGAACGTGGCTCTGAACTCCCTCCTCCCTCTCCCCCCGACCAATTTACAATGTGAAGTATTTTGCCAGCATCCTCGTGGGTTGCGACGTGTTGCTTCGAATAATCCGGCCAAGAAATACTGCACTGACAAAATATATAAATATATATATATATATCTCCTGTAAATAAAATGTTTGCTATGGTTTGTAACCACGTCAGTCTGTTGACCAGGGGAGAGGGCTGGTGAAGCTGACCCAGCTTCCTACGCCTCGCTCAAAGGCAGCCACTGTCTGCTCCTCGCCGGGAAGGACTCCCGGTGCAGTCTTCGCCTTTTTTTTTTTTTTTTTTTAATTATTTTTTCACCTTCTTTCGCGAACGGAGGCGAGGACGAGAACAGGATTTGACTACGCAAAATAGCAACTGGGCGAGAAAGCAGCCGATCGCACTTTATCGATGTATTGTGTATTTATCTATGGGCGGCTGTTGGTCGGGGCTGCGGGGCGCGGCTTTGCGCCGATTTCGCTCTCGTGGCCAAACCCCCCCGGCCCGCCGGGATGGAGGGGGGGACGACAGTGCCCCGTGACGTCACGGGGGAGCCCACGGTGACGTCAGACCCGCGGAGGAGGGGGGGGGGGGGGGCGACATGAGCGCAGCCCCGGAGGGGCGACGTGCTGGTGGGGCGGGCGAAAAGGGGCCGATAGGAGTGGAAACCGAGGGGTAAAGGAGTGCGCAGAGCCACAGCGGGCAGGGCGATTTTCAGAAGTCTGCGCACAAAACTCTGCTGCGCCCGCGATGGGGAGCGCGCTCGGGGAGCCCTGATGCGGCAGGGAAGCGGGCGGCATCGGGGAAAGGAGCTGGAGGGGATTTGTAGCTTGAGTCCCCCTTGAAGGCTTTTCAGGGGGTATCATGGCCTTTTGGGGGGCCGCGAGGCGCGCAGTGGGCCCTGCTGCTTGCCTCCAGCCCCAGCAAGCGGCCGTTCGTGGGGCCGCTGCCGTGCACATCAGCGCAGGGTTTGCTGCGAGGGATTTGTAACTTCCGCCAAGAGCGAGGGAAGCCGTGGGACAGATGTCCAGCGACAGGCTGCTATTTCTGTCCCGTCACACCAGCGCGATGCGCCTCACGGACGCGCGGGGCTTTGTTTCCTCGAGGCTCAGCCGTGCGGAGCGGGCACGGGGCAAATCACGGCTCGGGAGTCGGGGAGAGAGGGGCTGGGGTGGCTCTGCTCACACGGGGAAGGAAAGGCGAGTCGGGAGAGTTTCTCTTCCCTTGGGCTAGGGGAGTCTGCGCCTCCTCTAAGAGCGGGGCTGGCTGTGCGAAGGCCGCCTCCAAATAACGCCCTGGTCTCCCCAAATGACGGGAGGGACCCCCTTCCTGGACCCCGCGGCCGGGAGAGAGCAGGGAGAGTTATTCTACGATAACACGGCAAAAAGGGGGGAAAAATAACACTGTAACAACTAAGTAACGAGGAAAGATGCTCAGATCCAAATGAACGAGCTAAAAATCGCTCCGGCTCGGGCCGGAGGACTGGAGGTGAAGGCGAGTGGGGCTCCCCTGCGCCTCCAGGCTTAGGGCCCCGCGGCCAAATGGCAAGGCTGGGAGTAATTTTGTTCCTCTCCCCCCCTGCGAAAGGAAAAAGACATAAAAAAAATCTCTGTCCCGCATTGCTTCCGTTGTACATGTCCTCGGGCAGGTCGAGCAAAACCACGACAACGAGCTTTGGGAAAGATGCGCTGCTGGGGAGATTTGTGCCCGTCTCGAGTGGGAAGGGAGCTCGCCTGGTCCCGCGGGGCTGCTGGTAAAGAAGCTGAACCTCCGCGGAAAAAGGCGAACCAGCAACGGAACTGCAGCCAGCTCCACTGCTAGCCATCGCCCAAGTCGACCTGTCCGTACCTCCATGCAATAACCACCCAAAATCAGGTCCGAAAAAGGCCGGGGAGTCCCTTTTTTTGTTTGCTTTATTTCTTCCACGTCTGATAACACGAAAGAATTTTGATGCTGGTTATTTCTGAATGCGAAATGCCGAGCATCACGCTGCGAGAGTCTCCCATTACCCCGCTGACCCGATTCTTAAAATCGGTGGTCACCGCCTTCGAGCCGATTGCCTTTCTCCCCCCTAAATCCCTTGTGACTCTTTGCAGACCTGTGCCTGCCGATCCCAAATCCCTGGGGCTGCGCCCACCCGCCGCAACGGGGCCGTCTCGGAGCGGCTCTCCCCTGCCCGGGTTGGGGCCGGACACCCCCATGTCCCCCGGGAGGGGTCGGATGGGGCTTCCCTTGGCACTGCCCGGTGCTGTCCCGGCCGGGCTCTCGGGATTTTCACTTCCGAGTGCTCAGCGGAACTTTTTCGGGCTTATTTCGGATATGCGATTGTAGGGAGAGCAAGGAACGGGAGCGGTGCACTCTGCCGAACGGAGAGCAGAGGTTTCCCTGCCTCCTCCCTGCCTCGCATGTGTGGGAAATCGAATAAATAACGAACCGGGAGGCCTTTTCGGGCTGCCTCGTCATCTGAGCCCCTTCTGCGAGCTTTGGGTCCACAGCCGCACAGATGCGCAGCCGGGCTCGTCTGAGCCAGGTCCTGCCGACTCCTTCTCGGGGAGAAGCTTCCCAATAATCCCACATTTCCCACATTACCAAGTCCAACGACATCTTGTTCTTCTTGCCCTATTTCTTACCAGAAACCTCCCACCTTCGAAAAGACTCGAGGCAGCCTCGGAAATAACAATAGTCACGTTAACAGGAAAAAAAAAAAAAAAAAAAAAAAAAGATGCAATATTTTAAGCAAGAGATTTACTGGAAGGGTGAAGAAAGGGCCAGGCGGGGCCGGACAACGAGCTGGCGTTGGGGTCCCACTCGGAAAGGAGGGGTCCCACCGTGCCCCCAGGTCGGGGCCGCTTTCCCCCCCCCCGCCCCCAGAGCCCCACGGCTCGGGGCTGGCGGCGGCGGCAGCGAAACCTGAGTTCGGCTCCCTCCTCGTTAGCTCGGCGAGAGCAGCCCCGCTCCTTAGGAAAATATTTTTATTTTATTTTAACGTCGGGCTTAAGCTGATGTCTTAAAAAATAATTGTTTTCAGACCCCGGTTCGCTCGGCATCGCCGTTTCACACTCACACGCACACACAGCTTTCCCTGCAGTTCATGCCTCGGGACTGCCTGGCGTCGGCAAGACAAACTGCAATCTCCGAAATGTCAACTTTTGCCACAATCTCGACTAAAAAAACCACCCCCTTCTTATTGCTGTTGAGCGCTCATCAGAAATAATGGCTGTTTACACAAAACCTTTATTCACTTTCTTAAATAAACACCAGTGAATTCAAATAAAGCAAACCCTCAGCTATAATTCAAGCACAACGTTTGCTGTGTGTATTCTCGGCTGCGGACCTGGAGAGACTCCTAGGAGAGAAATATGAAGTCTCCTTTCACAGTCCACCTCCATTAGCTAAATATTCTAGCTCACCTCGGCCGGGCTTATCCCACCCGAGCTTTTCTTTTTTTGCTTTTTGCTTTTTTTCCTAGCTGAAGCGGAAATAGTTCCTCCCCTGTCGCATTACAGAGGTGAGGTCCGGACGCTTTTCTTTTTATATCAATTTGCAAAAAAAAAAAAATCCCCCAAACAACCCTTCACTCCCGTCTCGGAGCCCTGCCTCGGGGGCGCGCTTCGGGTCGGACCGGGACCGCGCTTCTCCGCCGCCCCCCCGCGACCCCCGGCCGCACACAGACGATGATGCTCCGGGCTCGGCGGGCCGGGGGCGCTCGGGTCCGGGCACACACAGGCTCTGGGGAGGGGGAGTCGAGGCTGGGGGAGCTGAGCCCGGCGAGGCGATGCCATGGTCCCCTCGATTGGAAAGCAACACAAGCGAGTTTGTGCAAAACCGAGCGCTTGCAAGTGCAGCGCGAAGCGGCGAGCTCGGCCAGGGAGCGGGGAGCGCTTGGTACCTGCGCGGGGAGCGGCTGCAGAGCCCCCCCTCGGGGCGGGGAGGGCAGCCGGGGAGCCCCGAGACCCGGGGAGGGCGCTGGGCCCCGGGCATCGCTCCCCAGGGCGGGAGGGGAGCCCTTGGTCCGCGGCGGGGCCGGGGGGCTCGGGCCGTGCGCTGCCCCCCGCTCCCCTCGCAGCCCCTGCTCCCAGGCCGGGACTCGCGGCCCCGGCCCTAATGAGATCCATTAAGCGTATTATTGATGTGGAGGTTTGCTGTGAGGTCCTGGCTGGAGGGAAGCGGAGCTCTGCTCTGCAGATACAGGCGCTCTGATCTGCACCACCTGGCTGAAACCAGAGAGCCGCCACTTCATTAATGGGTTTAGCCTTTGCTAATTGGTGTCTTTAGGAGCCCTGCCAAATTCTGCTCTGGGAGCCTTGGAAGCAGCTTTTGTTTTTCCTTCTGCCGGTGACATTCGTTGACGGCAATTAGACCCCATTCCACTCCTGCGCCGGCGGGCCGCCAGGCAGCGCCAAGCCCCCGAGGGGGCGGGCTGCGCCCCCGGCCCGGGCACCCCCTGCCCACCGCCGGCAGCACCAGCAGAGCTCGAAGCGCCGCAGGTATCCCCGGCGGTGGGCTTAGCGAGCCCCCCCGCCTCCAATGTCGCGGCTGCAGCAGGTGACACGGGCGGAGGGGGACCGAGGGGCCCGGGCGCCGCGGACCCCGCCGAGAGCGAGCGCAGGGGCCGGGCACGATCCGGCCTCTCCTCCTGCGGGCCGGTGGCCTGCGGGCTGCGAGGGGAGCCGAGCCCCGGGCGTCCCGGAGCAGCCCCCGCGGCCGTGCCAGCCCCGCGGCCGCCGCAGCCCGGAGCCGCCGGCGCCGCCGCCGAGCCCCTTTCGCCGCCCGCCCTCGGGGTCAGCTTCGTCCCCGGCCCCGCGGGCCCGAGCCGGTTTTCCGGGACTCAAACGGCCGTAGTTAATGAAATCCGCTCACCGCAAATCACAGAGCTCTGCCGTACGCTATAATCAAATTTCTGCTTGCCTTAAAAAACCCAGGCCACCCTCCTCCACCCCCCCTTCTCCAGGCAAACCCCAAATCAAAGGTTTGCAGCCATCACACCCCTCCAGCTACGCCTGGTCCCAGGCCGCCTCTCCGTTACCGTCGGCTCTTCTCCCCCAGCACCGCCGTGCCCAGCCCTCGGCGGCCCGAACCGGGACGGGTCTGTCCGGCCGGGTCACCCGTGCGGGGATGGGGGCGAGGGGATGGGGGCCGTGGGGGTGCGGAGGGGGTGTTGGAGGGGG